TTTAGTTTCATAAAGAATGGAGGTTTGTGTTAAAACAATGTGAATATCTATATTAAAGAAATTATCTTGAAAAGTAACTTAGATTGTTCGTTTTAAGTACATGAGCTAGATGTTGGATCCCATTTTCCGTGATTTTACTCGCCTAAAGACTCAGTACGATAAGTAGATAGTAACAAAAATTGTATTTGAAAGTTGAATAAGGAGATTTTTCTAGATGTTCTAATCTTCAACCGACTTCCTAAATTATATACTCATCGAATGAACAAACATCGAATACATTATTAACAGTCGAAATAAATTATATATAGGTGAAATATTGTGTTCGAATTTTTCCAGATTTCAAAGTCATCCTGAAGTCGTAGGAGAAAAAATTCGTAGAGTAGACTTCGTCAATTATTCGCTAGAAAAAAAAATAGTTTTGTTGTTCTTTGATTTCTATATTAGAAAGCAAAAAAAGAAAAACTGATGATATAAATTAATCAATATGAGAACAATAAAATAATTGCATCCAGTTCATATTCAAGTTAATATGAAACAACCACTTTGAAAATTTTTACACTTTCTACGTGTGAGTAAAGAGAGGAATGACATCCACATCTAACAAGCTAAAATAAAAAAAATTCAGTTGATTTAACCGGTATCAACTGAACGATTCAAATATAGAATTGAAACTGATTACACCTTGGTATGTTTATAATGTAAACATTAACTAACTACTTCGTTCGAAAAAATAAGTTTATTAATGCAGCTCTACGAAGATATAAAATCCAAAACTTACACAATTTTTGAAGGTCCTAATAGTAACAACTATATAGACACTAGCAATAAGAACCCTGAAAGAATTCTTGTTCAATTTTTTTTTAAATAATGTATTAATTCACAAGAATAGATAAGTTTGATCTTTTCTCTTCTTTCGAATCATTGCTTAACACAAATTGAAAGATTTCTTGATTCGAAAAAATTAGTATTGAAATATAGAGATAGAAATCTAATTTCTCACCAACAGTAAACGCACAGAACAAAAATGTCACTATTTATGATAAGATGTTTTTTAACAAAATATTTATAATAGAAAGTAAATATTTACTTTATAGCTGCTTTCATGCAATAGCATATGATGTATTATTCGCCTTCTCTCATGATAGACGTACTTCACAAACAGCGAAAGACTCTTAAGTTTTGCTCTTCTTCTTTTAACTTGGAACTTGGAAACGATTTGATAACAAACAACCATTAACAGTAGTTAATAGATATACTTATTCTAATATATCGAACTGTCGATTGTCTCCTCCTGGTATTCGATTACATGACTCAAATAATGAAGAAAAATTATGTGATATACAACATAAAAATGATAGTTGCATCTGAAATTATTAATAAGAAAATCAATCATATTTAGAACAAAGAATATGAATTGATTAGCTAAACTATTATTTAAGATTGAGTTTGAACATAAAATTGGAACCATCACTATTAAATTTTGTGATAATTTTGACTTATATTAGCAGTATTCTAATAATAGATATTATTGTGTGAAAATTTTCTGAAGTTGACTAAATAATTTCTTATTGATATATTTTCTATAATAGATGTCATTGTTGATTTAAATTATAAAACCTGCCAACGTACTGAATATGTACAAAGAAATTTTGAAAAAAAAGTCTTATCGCCACCATCAAAGGTTGCAATGATATGAAATTGTACACACATATATAACTTTCATTTTTATGTTTTTTAAAAGAATAACTTTGTTTAATCAAATAAATCATCGGTGTTTTTAGCGAACAATTTAATATTTTAATTAAGGTTTTTCTTTTTATCAAATCTTAAATGTTAAACTAGGGTTATTTATTATTTGAAATTAAAAACATGTAGAATGAATAATATTGTGAATGGTTGGTTTTTTGCTTAAACATAATTTTGACAATCATCTCAAATGGAATATGAGCTATGCTTTAAGAAATAGTTAAGGCTTCCTGTCAAAAATCTATTTTCGTTTTACAACAACTGATGTAGCTTTAAAATAAAATATGGATGTGGGCATAAAGATCCGAATGTTAAATTCTTTTAGAGTTACTTCTATATCACAAGTCTAAAGAGTGTGGGTGAGTGTAGTTACTGTGAAAACACAAAACCCACACGCACATAAAACGACATGTTTTATTATTAATTTTTGTAAATAAAAATCGTATAATTTGACTAATTTGTTTTCTATGGATTTCAGTTTTAAGATATTCGACTTATGGAAATACATTTATAATCATTTGAAAATTTTCTAAAATACAAGATTCACGAATTTGATAAATATTGAAAAGCTTCACTTTGTTGAATTAATTTTAAATTAATTTCATTAAAAGAAAATGAATCTAATTTTAATACACGTAAATTAGGTGTCAAATTTTAAAGGAAGAATATGATTAAGAGTTGTTGTTATTGAATCATTAGGTGATTTAAAACTAATGTTTTATTGTTAATTCATTAGCATTTGAAAAATTGAAATTATTTTCTTGAGTACGTGAATAAAATCTATAATCTTTTCTTTGGTATAAATTTGTTAAATAAATTATTATACTATTTGATTTATTTTGCTGATTATATTCATTTCTAAAAAAAAACATTGCTGTCGAGTTAATAGTGAAGAGTCAAATTGATAAACTAAAAGGAGATGTAGGAAGTCATTATTTTGTATCATACTATTGTATGATATATATCAAAAGGGTGTGGGTGTGGGTGTGGGGTGTGGCTCTGGCTGTGAGTGTGGGGGTAGATGTTGTTTACTTACACTGCACCCACATCCACATCTACATTCTCTCGCACACCCACACCCAAAAGGCTCTCTAATCGCATTTAAACGCGATCAGAACATGAAACACGTTCTGATCTATTTTTTCGAAGTGTAACTGCATGTATATTTATAAAGTTTGTCCAGTATAGGTACAGATCGACAAATATAGAAGAAATTCGTGTACTAGATGAAAATGTGACATTATGCTCGGCAAGATGCTTGTTTTTTGAAATTTTAGTATAGTTTTTGGGAATACTTAGTGTGATGTTCTCGTATCATGTCGGTTTTGAAGTTGAAACGAAAACTTTTTTTTTATAATTAAATTGAATAGATATAGGAGTTTTCCATCGCTTCAGTTGAGTAAGAATAGGAAATCAAAACAGGCATTTGTTACACATGTTTCAAAATGAATAGTTTCGATAATTTGTCTTTAATTTTTCAATCTATGGGATAGTAATTATCTTCTGTTTTCATTATTTCTATTGATAGTAACCTAGAGTCACAAAAATTGGTCTAATTCTAGAATAAAGATGTCAATAATAGATTCTGTAAAGAGAGATTATTTTTATCAAATCCAGAATAATTAACAATATTGTTTTGACTAAATTCTAATCGTCAAATTTCATTTCGATAATTAAGATATAATCTAGTTGAGTTTAATCTAAACAATTAATTAAATGAAATAATTATTTCTCTCATAATCATTTATTATTTATATACTTATCAAAAGTTTTAAACTGTCTACAAACATCTCTCTTTCTTCTTAATTACTAAAATATTTCCGAAAAGAAAATAAATAAACTACCTAGCATTATTATACAAAGTAAAGATAAATTAATATCTCTATTCTCCAATTTATGAGAAGTCATGTAAAAAGAAGGATGTAGATGTGGACTGACTGATTGAGAGAAAGTTCGGAATTAAATTAGAGAGGATTTCGGATCGATTCTCCACTTATCTTTCTTTAGACATAAGGCAATATCAATAGACAATGATTCTTAGATATCGAGTGAGACAGAAAATTCATCCTGCTAGAAGTGCTCGTATTAGACTAACTACATGTGTTTCGTTGGCGTGAGAAAGGTGACTAATGTATCTTCCTTTTCTTTTCGTTTCGTCTATTAACTACAGGTAACGTTCGTTCTGTGCACGATGAGGGAAAAATATGGCTTCTCGTGCTGTGTTTGGTTGTTTCCTTATTTCTTCGTTAAAATGAATACTGATCAATTTATGCATCAGTGGTCACTGCAATAAAAGAGAGATAAAAGTACGCTCTCCTCGCATTTTCATTTAGTTTTTTTGCTTTCGTTTAGATTCATTGCTAGGGTATTCATCAATCGATTTTCGATTTTGGTCCTACCTGGATATTATTTAACAGTAATTATCCAGTTTACTATTTCTATTGATCCTGCACTATTCAAATGAATTTTTCTCATATCAGTGCTCGTTGCTCTAGTGGAAATTTTGATGTCAAATTCGATTGTATTTTCATTCTTGCGAACGGACAACGAACTGAGCAGACTATACACTCATTCGATTAGAAGTTCTGAAATTCGATTGCATCGATAGCGTGAAAGGTTTTTGGAGTACACTTATATTACGCGAAAAACGTTTGCTTCAAACGCAAACGTTTTTTCTAGCAGTAAAACTTTAAAAATTGATAACAGATTGTGAAGTCTTCTTATGATTTTAACTACAGATTCTACTTAGATGAGAGAGCGAGTATTTTCATTCCTGGCTTGTAGTATCACTGTGCACTTGATCAAAACAAGTTTTGTGCCTGAAAAAAATTTATTAGCCTTTGTTTGTAAGAATTTTTTCGTAGTCATCGATTCATTCTTTTCTTTTTCATTGTTCATCATGATTTTATCACAATAAGATGATTCGTGCTTTTATAACCATAGAATTGCCACTAAAACTCAATTGTCCGAGAATCAAAACGTAACGACAAATTTTCATCGCATAGAATTGATGTGTGTTTTTGAAGAGCTTTCTATTTCCAGAGAGAAGATGAGATAAATTTCATTGTATCACCTGGTACATAAAAAAGATTTAGAATTAAAATATGTATATTATATATCTATGAAATAAACCACAGAAACTAATTTCTACAGTCATTCCTTCTCAAAAGAATTCTCTAAAGCAGAGAAGAGACAATTTATTATAATATTGTACAATATATTATGTCTAATTTTAGATTACCTAAATTGTCGAAATGTCACTGCTTGTTGCTTTAATTATTGGTATAGGTGATGAATTAGAAGATGAAATAGCTTATAAGTTAGGAAAACAAGGTATATGTGTTTTATTTTGTTCAAACAATGAAAATAAATTTGAACGAATAATAAAGAAATTGAGCAATGAAGATATTGAACCCAAATTTATTATACTTAATACAGTCGATCTTAAAACGATTGACGAAATAATTGAAAAAATCGATGAACAGTTCGGAAAACTAGATATTTTAATTAATGTTGGAATATTTCTGGATAATAATCAATTTAAAATAAATACCATGTTATATGAAGGATTTGAAGCAAGAGAGTCTTTTGATCTATTGACTGTATTACAGGCATTTATACCTTTACTTCAAAAATCTCCTTCTAGCCGTATAATTAATGTATATGGTGAAATGAATGTATATGATTCTGACATGAAATCATGGACTAAATTATTTCGTGATTATTCAGCAAAATTCGAATTAGATAAATTTATGGATCAATTTTACAAAGAATTTAGTAATACAAATATCAAGATTAGTTCTATTATCCTTGGCAATGATAATAATATTCAAACTATAGCAGAAGAAGCTGATCGTATTGTTCATTTAGCAAGTTTACCTTTTAATTCATCTTCAAAATCTAAGACGATGCGTATTCTTTATGGCATCGTAGGGGAAGGAATGGGACATGCAACACGATCCAAAGTCACACTTGAAATACTTCTGAAGGAACAACATCATGTTAAAGTCGTCGTAAGCAATCGTGCATATAAATTTCTTCATGACAACTTTTCAAATCGATTTCCAAATTGTAACGAAGCGGGTGAAGGTGAAGCAGCTATTGATATAATTGAAATTGAAGGTTTAACAATGCAATATGTTAATAATGTATTTGATGAAAAAGCTTCAGTATTACACACCATGCAACGTATGCCAGATATGCTTAGCAAAAACCTTGATGCATATTATGAAAATCTTGTTTCATGGATGCCTCAAGCTGTTATTAGTGATTTTGATAGTTTTGCATACATTTTTGCTAAAATACATGGACTACCAATCCTTTCGATCGATAATCAACATGTTGTACAACGATGTGTCATTCCTGAAGAAGCTAGAGAGTCAAATCCAATAGCATTTTATACATACAAATGTTTTGTCAAAGCAAAACTTTCACGTTGTGATTATTACATTATTACAGGTTTTTTTACTCCCGAAATTCGTGACAAGTATAAAGATAACACAATAGTTGTTCCACCAATTCTTCGTCAGACTATTCTTGATGCAAAACCATTACCAGTTGAACATTGTGAACATTTTCTTGTTTATCAAAGTAGCAAAAGTGATACGTCTCTTATTTCTATTTTACAAGGCTTTGGTGAAAAATGTATCGTATATGGGTTTGGTCGTGAGGAAAAGGTTGATAATCTAGAATTCAAAGGTTTTTCTGAACAAGGATTTGTGGATGATTTAGCATGTGCTAAAGGTGTCATTGCTAATGGTGGACTTTCTCTTATGAACGAAGCAGTAAGTTTACAACGACCGTTTTTTAGTGTGCCCGTCGAGAATCAATATGAACAAGTGCTCAATGCTTGGTATTTAGAAAAGCTAGGCTATGGTGTCTTTGCAGATAAAATAGAGCTTGAACCACTTCGACAATGGGCACAAAACATTTCACACTATGCAAAAGCACTTTCAAATTATCATCATGATTCAAATATGTTATTGTACAAGTCAGTGAAAAGAGCTCTTCAAGAATTTAATACAAGATCTGTATAATGGAATTCATTGAGATACTTTAAATGAACATCCTTACTAATCATCAATTAACCATCAAGTTTTATTCATATTAGAATAGCTTCATCTACTTTATTACTAATCTCAACAACTTACATGATTATTTTTAATTACTATACTATGCTACCTATATATCGTAGTTTATAATAAAAGCCGTAGAAAAACCAAAATATTATTTATTATCCATTGAAGTTCATATTTTTCTTAAGGATGAGAGCGAGTATATTGATAAAAGAGATACAAATATCAAAAGAAAAAAACAATCACGATGGTGTATTTCAGTCTACCTGAAGGGTCAGATCAAGTAGCTAGTGCCTCTCAGACTATTTTTGTTGAGTACGAAAGAAACGACCACTATTACATTTTTATCCAATTGAACGAAATTCTTACCCAGTCAAAAGAATACTAGTGAAATGACCATTAAAATGCATTTCGATTCGCAGATACACCATTTTATAAACCCCTAAGTCTATTTTTTCTAACTTTTGTGATGAGGTAAAGACATTTATAGCTTCTAAAATTTATATAATTTACTAATCTTTGCTGAATAAGCGCTCATACTTGAGGGATGTGAGTGCGGATGAAGCAAAGAACTAATTCCACACTCACAGCTGTTATACTGTTTGACAACGTCAGTATTGGTAAAAACTTCCAAATCTCTATGTCTAATCATATGATAAAAATAACGCTTGAAAGATATTTTTCTCTCTTTCACCTACATATTAATGAACATTCAATTCTTTGATAAATCGGATGATGCAAAGGACTAAGATTCATACTATCTTTCGGCATTTGTGAGTGTGCAACAGTTATAAATAACAACATCTACAAATTATACAGAAAGGTATATGACTTGTAACTATCGATTTAAATAAATCATAAGCGAACTGCGTTAATATTAGATTTAGCTCATTCTAGAAACTTTCTTAGAATAGTCGAAAAATAATATGTTGAGACATCTTCTAAATGAGAAAAAGCAGATACCTGTGTTTTCCTGTATCTATTATAACCGAGAAGAGTCATTAAGGGCTATGAAAAATGATACCTTCATAGATATTCAAATGACATTCGGATTGTTTTTCCTATAGCTCTGAATTGATTGTTTAATCATAGCTTCTGTCTAATCGCGTCTGAAAGTAGTAGATAGAAAAGCAGTTTTTCAAGTTCTCGTTGACTCTTCATCAGGCTTCACAATTATTCTAAAAGTCAGTTTCATTTTTATTCTAAAACAGTCTTACTTCTCTTCAAATGAACGATACCCTCTCGTCTGATTAGTTATATATATGAAGAGGATAGAAAAAAAAATAGAACGAGAGATAGCTATCAAGTAAAATAATATTCAAATAAATACTTAAAGATATTTTGTAACAAATTACACAGACACATAATAATAAATACAGATGAGGATCAATCTAAAATAAAAGGCAAAGTGAAAGAAAAAGATCATAAATCAAAAATAAACAAAATCCTACCATATAATTATACCAGTGGATAGTTTCCTTGGATAATACGAATTAGATTCTCAAGAGCAAGCTGACCAAATCTGGCATATGCGAGTCTCACATAAGTAGCAGTGTTTTATCTAGGTTTCGTTTTTCGGGTGGGCGGTTGAAATTTTCGGAAGGACTGCATGCTAAAAAATTTGTCATATAGTAAAGGCACACACAAACTCTTATTTGGGCATCGTCAGCTATCTCTGCTGGCGAAAGAAATTCCGTAACGATTGTTTCACTTTTTGCTTTTACAATAACTCTTGTACCCGATTACTCAGAGAGCTGTGGTATGTCTTAGCTTAAAGAACAACTTCTTTTCTATATTGTGGGATATGGTATGGGTGTGAGTGTGGGTGGAGTGTACTTCTTCCCTTCATCCACACCCACACCTTTGGAACTCGAGGTATCTGATGGTGCCTATTCACCGGCCATCACCATAGGCTTTCATGCTACTACCTAAACATAATATTTTTGAATGAAAGAGGTGCTTCATCTACCGTAGCATCGTGTACTGGGTAATATAGTTTCAATATCACCCTTAAGGATACCCCCCGTGTCCTCGCCCAAAATTTTTGTTTTTTTTTGGCCATTGTATAGTTTCAAGTAGTGTCTATCTACTCACTACATTTTGGAAACCAACAATTGCCTTTAAAGATTAAAAAATTCGAGGAAAAATTAAGTTTACATAGTGAAAATAGCTAAAATTTTATATTTTTTTGTTTTTTTCTCAAAATCAAATTTTTAGTAGGAAAAGTACTGTTTCGCCTCTGTTTCTCCGGCATGGTAAGAGAGATCGAGCTGAAACTTTTTTTTTACATATTCTACTCACCATTTTAGATGAGTATTTCTTTTTTCTTTTCAAGAATTATTGCTCTGATGATTTTTGGCAGCTTTCACAAAATTTGCTAGAGGAATAAAAACAAGCGTTTTTTTAGGGTAGGCTCAGTATTTTGACCTTTTTATTGAAACCACAAAAGATGAAAATAAACTTAAAAAAAATATGCACCACAAACAGTGTCTATTACCCGTAAAAAAATTTTCAGTTCAATCGAACATACCATCTTGGAGAGACGGGGGCGAAAACTAGAGCCATTTTTCGGCATTGTGACCCTATTATCTCATAGAAGACAGCATCAGGGAATTTTGAGTCTATGACAACTTTTGCTCTGCTCATCAAGATCTATCTGTCCTGAAAATTTCAAATTTTTCTGATAAGCCGTTCTCAAGAAACCCCGGAAGGGGGGGGGGGGTACCCTTAAGACTAATAATGCTGGTTGGGACACCGGCAACCTATGGTGATTGCCAGTTATAACTATTATTTGAATGACTTAGAACTTACAACACTAACTCGTGTCTATTCACCAATCATCACTGTAGATTTTCATTATCTAGCCGGTTTGATCTTCTGTCGTATACCAAACTTCCGATGAACATTTGCCAGAATGACTTTATTTTTACAAGAGATCACTTCTAAGCGAGAAAATAATGAACAAATTACTGAGATGTTTCGTGTAACATCAAAAGAATAATTCATACAAAATTGGTCGGTGCATTAGTGCCACGGATTCACCATATCACCGACGCACCAGTCCACCGTTCATCGGTGACATTGGTCGATCAGTGCACCGCCACAGTTGCATCCCTAATCGTTTATATCAAAATTCATAGTCAGTTTAAGGCCGATAATTGGATAGTGGTATTGATGATTACAGTGTCGTTGTTGCAATGCGTAATCTTTGTCGCGGATTCAGTCTTTTTACTTTACTCCATAGTTGAGGTACACTACCGAGACACACGAATGGTAGTAAAAAAACCGGAAAATAGGAGATAAAGAAGTAGGTAGGTTCGATTTCAATGGCAAAGTTGGGTTGGCCATATAATCGACCAAGATAAATAATTCCTAATGGAAAGTAGAGGCCCAAATATAACAGTGATATACAAACAAGATTGATTGCTAGTTTGTACTGCTTTCGCCATTGAATATGTCGATGAATTTGATATTTTTGCCAAATAATACGCGCAAGCAACGCCATACTAAAGATTGCGATGAGTAACATCGCTACCACACCGTATCCAAACTGTTCAACTGTGGCAAAGAATTTTACCGATTCATAGCACCCATACATGCCGCACAAATCTGTTTCGTAGTCAAAAGTATTCTCGCATGGCGGTGCAAATATTGCTATGATGTAGAATGTCATAACAAAAAGGACAATCGCTGAAAATGGAAGGTAGTGAATAAGTAAACGTTGCCGGTGTGTAGCTATTAGAGCAATATGAAAAATAAGTATGTGTCTTTCAATCACTGCCCAAAGAAGTATAATTACATTGTTGAAATAGAAACCCCAATCGATAAGCCACCAAACGAGACAAAGAGTTGGTGCTGCAGGGCGAACGATGCCTGTGTGAAAATATTGTAAATGTAGTGGTATATCGATTAGTTGATAGATAAAATTGAACGAAAGCATTAGAACTGAAGCATGATTCTGAAGCGCTTGTCGCAAAGCTCGTTCCGTCAGTAAGTGATAGAGAACGAAGATGGAACAAAAAATAGATGGCAAATCAAATCCAAGAAATAACCAGAAACGTAAATCTCGCCCAAGTTCAAAGCTCGGAATCGATACATTTGAACAGGAGTTATTGTTCTCAGATGTCAGCGCCATATGGATTATGTCTCTATAACAATGTTCAGCTCAGGATTCGCGTGAAGTGTTCATAATAGCCGATATCAGCTAGATAAATGAAATAATCTTATGAGAATCATCTATTAAAAAGTATAAATTTGCTTTCAATCATAAGGAGATATGTGTATTTGCGTGAGCACAACATGTAACCTGATCATTTTCAATATCACGAGGTGAAAAATGAATATTGTTAAGAAATATGCTGATTTGCACTTCCTTCTTTGTAAAGGAATATAATGTAGTTTCAACATTTGTCAGAGTCAAAAAAGAGTTAGTGTATATTTGAAATACGAAAACACTTATATCTGTAGAATGCATGAAAAGTCGTTCTTACGCATCTTGACTATCATCGACTTACCCTGGTATGTGTACGAGTCGGAAGTATTAATGAACTACTCTGGCAATAACTTGAACAAAAATGTAGCGGCTCAATGTCTTTATTCCGATAAGAAAGATGCCATCTTAGATCGCACGTCAATATGGCTTCTGTGAAGCGAAGAAGTCCACTTCGTGTTCAACATTTTCATTCAAAGCATATTTCTCATTGTGTAAACTAGTGATCATTCAAGAAGACCATTTCCATAGCCTTTATTTGACACGAAAGGAAGCTTTCTAGCGATTAGAATAGAGAAGAAATTTGGAACGTACGTAAACTAAAAAAAAAATCAACAGCCATATTTTGAGAAAAACGCAAAATAAGCTTTCAAAAGACTTATGTTCTCCAGTATGATGGTTTAGAAAAACTAATGTAATATTCTTAAATCTCCTCATGAAATCAATCAACTGTAGTGCATTTGATTAACTT